TGCATTCTGATTGGCTGATTGCTTTCTGAATCCGCCAATCACAGCAAGCATATGATTTCGACAATTGTTATAACAAATGTTGTAACATTACAACATTTTTTCCTTAGAAACGTTTAAAAAATTAAGCCCGTCTTTAAGACGGGCTTATAGGCTAGTTTGTTGATAAGTAAATATTCGTCTTTACACAAATTGTCACAACATTGATTACTTTATTAATATGTGTGTATCTCCTTCACGAATATGTACCCATTTGTGTGTACATGCAGCTCTCAAGATTATTTACTTATTCGTCTCGTGTATCACAAGGAAATAAAAGATAAGCTATTACTTGACGTTATTTCTCATTCGATCCGCAGGTCAATTAATTATGCTGCACATCCTAATTTACATAACTATGTACAGCACCAGTCCATAAATTTACACCCGGTGAAATGCTGCGAGTTCCAACAGATGTAACTTATCAGCCAATTATATTACATCATTAACGTTAGGCTCATTTTGTACAGAATTTAATTGGCTTTCCAACGATAGTACATTTGGTCAAGAAAAAATTAGTATGAATTCACAAATAATTGTAATGCAAAAAATCATAGAAAATTCGCCGGCAAAAGTTTAAACCCGTTTGCAAATATGTCCCTTAAACTTAAAGATTCAATATTTTGTGTGACCCCCATTTGCTTTAATGACTGCTGCAACACTCCTGGGCATGGACTCTACAAGATTCCTTGTCACGGATTCCGGTATCTTTAACCATTCCTCTTCTAAGATGTTCAAGAGGTCCTTCGCACTTTTTGGTTGGTCGTGACGTTTTCGGATCCGATTTTCCAGCTCAAACCACATATGCTCGATCGGATTTAGGTCCGGTGATTGAGCAGGCCACTCCATGACCTTAATTTTTTTGGTTTGCAGCCATTTGGTGACCAACTTCGCCGTGTGTTTGGGGTCTCCATCCTGCTGAAATGTGAATCGTCGTCCAAGTCTCAGTTTTGTAGCCGACTGGAGAAGATTATTCTCTAGTATTTGAAGATAAACTTCTTTGTTCATTGTCGTTGGGATTTGTACGAAGTTTCCAACCCCACCAGCCGCCATGGAACCCCACACCATAGTAGCTCCTGATCATATAAAGTCGATTACGCGTCTTACAAAAAGTTGGAGTTAGTTCCATCAACTTACCTCCCCCGTGCTTGACCGTGGGGACGAGACACTCCTTTTTCAAACCTTCTGCTGGTCTCCTCCAAACATACTTTACCCCTTTATTCCCGAAAATACAAAATTTACTCTCGTCCGACCAGAGTACCTTGCTCCAGTCTTGCGCGGTCCATCCGCGTGGTCCTTGGCCCACTTCAGTCTTCGGCTGATGTTCTTCACCGACAACCACGGCTTCTTTCGAGCTCTTCTTCCTTTTAGATTATTTTCATGGAGCCTCCTCTTCACTGTGTGTGCGCTAATTTGCATCCCACAATCCTTGTTGATGTCAGAGGTCAACTTTTGGAGGGAGATTCCAGGGTGTTGGATTGCAGTCTTGACAATTTTTCGGTCCACTCGCCCAGATGTGACCCGTGGTCTCCCCGGTCTTGGTCTAGTTATCACAGACCGTTTTCTTCCAAATCGTAATGATGGTTTTGGCAGTATTTATGTTACACTTAGTAATAGCACTAATTTTTGTAGGCTCCATGCCTTGCTCGTGCAGATTTACAATGACCTTTCTTTCCGCCACGGTCAGTTCTCGACCCTTCCCCATTATTATTTTTTTTGCAACTAAAGGAACCAGGATGACGTTGAAAAGTATTTGAATCCCAGTATCACAACACTTCCACAGGAAATAATTCTTAATTCTGAACGGGTTTAAACTTTTGCCGGCGAATTTTCTATGATTTTTTGCATTACAATTATTTGTGAATTCATACTAATTTTTTCTACCAAATGTACTACCGTTGGAAAGCCAATTAAATTCTGTACAAAATGAGCCTAACGTTAATGATGTAATATAATTGGCTGATAAGTTACATCTGTCGGAACTCGCAGCATTTCACCGGGTGTAAATTTATGGACTGGTGCTGTAAATGCTTATATAATTTAGTTACGTACGTATGTACATACATCTGTACTTATCCAGGCTGGGGGATATCTTCGTCTTCATTATTGCTTGTATCAGATCTGATTCTCCTTCAAATCGTGGCGTGGTCCTGACCCGATGAGAGGACAGAGTCCAAATTTTCGAATTATGTACATGTGCCAATACGTTACTTGGTTTGTGGTCAGGACATAGGTGCACCGCTCCTCGGCCCCCACTACCACTGTAGGGTACCTTAAATCCCGTTTTAAAAGTGAATGACCTAGGGTCGACCCATACATCAAATTGAAGGTACTAGAATTTTCCAAAATATTTTGGGGAAAAGTTGAAACATAATATGTTTCATCTAATCCAAAATCACAGATTATGTGATTTTTGGTATGGGGAGAGATTAGAAGTTGAGTTTGGTTTTGACTCCTCCGCCTGGTAAAAATCGTCCGTTTTTCAACTTTGCCTTCAAATATTTGTCAAATTCTGAACTGCCTCAAGAAACGTTGGTTGTATTGACTTGGGCCACATAATTTTAAAATTTCAATCAAATCGGAAAGTTACACTTCATGTCATCGCATTGAAAGAAGAAGCTACTCAAATGTCTTATGTCCACATAGAGTCTGCCCGGTATGCTAATACTTATACTATTGCGGATTTAATAAATGTGGTGATGAATTTTTAAAAATTATATTTGTTAGATATTTATATCGTAAGAAGTGATTTTCCGTAAAAATAATTCACTCGTTTCCCACATTTTATTCACTTCAGAAGTAAAATCGCAATTAAGTACTTATTAAGGTGAAACATTTTCGAGTATCACAGTGCATACACAGGGTCGGAAACAGTTATACATAATTATGTACATATGTGGGTAGACACCATATGTATTGTTATGTAGTACGGTACAAATGTGAAATATGTACATACTTATGCACACTCAAAACAAACATTTATCAAATCAACATCGCCCGTGTCAATATGTATATGACTTAACCGCCTGTATCTGCATATTTAGCACGAGGTGACGGAATTTTACAGATGAGTAAGCACCCAATTTGGATATGTATGGTCACTATTAAGAAGTGTGACATTATAATGTAAAATGACACAAACGATGGTGTACACTCTTAATAATCCGGTAAAGTCACGCAGGTAATGATTTCTCGATAATAAATTTTGTCATAATATTTTACCAGGCAGTAAAAATTCGTTACCATGAGGGCAAAACTTTATTACCAGGCCATTACAACACGGTAAAACTGATCATTACCACTTTGGTAGAGTCATATACTTGTGCTTTTCGGTAGTGTTTATTACCAGATTATTTACAGTGTAAACAATGTATAAAAGTATTCTCTACAAACACCAGTGGTTACATGTTTCAATACGGACGTAGTAAAAATCGCGTATCGGCCAAGTGAGATTGTACTTTGGTTTAGTACGGATCCGTGGCCGCGGAAGCGGGGGGACATAGGGACACTGTCCCTACAAAAATTTTGCCGTGGGAAAATACAATGCGTTTGTCCCCTCGCGTGGGGACCGTGGCCACGGTTTCGAATTCGTGAAGTATAAAAAATCGACAGCGACCTCGAACGATAACTTAAACCATAATTATAAAATTATATTGAAATTTGGTAATAATATTGCTTTTCACATTCAATTGCAAGGCAAATCTACAGCTAGTGCCATTCAAATATATATGCGATTTTATTTGTATCAATTAGTTAGATTTTGATTTTTCAAACTTTTCTTAAATTTACATGGAAATTTATGTCTCCACGGTCTGAATAATCTTCCTCAGCGAGTGGTACGGATGACTCGCAATGCTATTTGTGATACGTCAGTAGTTAAAGATTGATGTGAGATTTTGCAGTGTATGTTCATATGTCCCAATTTGGTTTCTACACGCGTCATGGCTCAACACGGGCTCGTTTTCGTCCTTGTAAAAACTCCACTCTCCGCACAAGACAGAACAATGTCCAGTCCAGTCGTCGGCGCCTGGTTTATTCTTATCTCGTTATCCACCCATTGTGTCCAGGATGGTGAGCTTTTTTAATTAAACAATTGAAGATGCAGTGTGTAGGTATGTATGGTTGTCGAACAAATGACGACGCTTACAACGGGGACGTAAACCATGTTCAAGCCAGATTATTAAGATATAAATATAATGAGATAAAGTTATTTTTCACGCTTTAGCTGTTTCGGTGGCTTAAAATGTCCGTAGTTTTGTGAACATTAAGAATCCGTAATACAGTTGGGGTGGTCAGCTGGCATTTTTCGAGAGCCGAGGAAAAATTAGCTAATTTTTGCAAATTTTGCACCGAACTCGTCCAAATTTGGTTTATTTAAGTATTAGAAACTTTCAGTGGAAAGGCTGACTCTTAGAAACAACATTTAATGTTTGAACTTGCGAAGATGCGAAAACTTCGGAAACTTAAGGGCCTCGCCATTTCGCGAAACGGCCTAGATGACGCCAAATTGCACTCAAATCTAGTGTTTCGCGAACTAGCTGAAATTTTCGCATCTGCACAGGTTCTAATATTAAATGTTATTTCTAAAGCCTGGTACTCAGGACGGATTTCTCTTGAGAAAAACAATGTTTAGCAACAACATGAATAAGAATGTTAAGTACCATTTTGCATTAGATTTAAAAAAAACACTCCCACTTGGTACACTTTGTAATGTAATTCAAGTAATTGCAGAGAACTGGTAATTTAGTACAAAAAACCCGTTGCTTCGAGCGAGTCACTCATCCTGAGTCCATCCATCCTGACTTAAACAACAATGCTGGTCAAAAGTTAATCTGGACTGAACATGGTTTGCGCGTCCCCACCATGACAAACATACATTGTCGCCAACATCACCAACGTCAAATTTCGCATGTCCCATCACTGATAAAAGCAGACAAAGTCCTCCACGTCCTCGATTAATTTAGATAAGCTTCCGCATAAAACCACGCCGCCCGGGTCGCAATAAAATAATTACCAATTCATTAAACACAAAGCTTGCTAAAAACATTGCCAAAATGATTGCAAAATTCTTAGTCATCGTCGCCCTTGCCGTGATCCTCGCTGTGGTCGAGGGAGCTGAAAATCTCGGTCATAAATCAATTTTTAGCGAAATTTACCAAAATTCCAGCAACATTGCGCCCCTTCTAACGACCTGCGCAGAGTGCGACAGAACCGAGACGTGCTGCACCTTCCCGGGAGCTTTGATTGGTTGCTGCGAGTATTCTTCCGCGGTCTGTTGCCCGGATTTATTTGGCTGTTGTCCGTCCGGGTATCGATGTCCGAGCAGGCTTGGAGATGAGTGTGCGGCGGGGAGTGGACGTCCAATAATCGGGACCGTTTTTATGATGGGGGTGGCGATTATTCTCTTGGGGAAGATGATGGGTGAGTTGTGATTAAAATAAATTTTGGGGACGGTTTTTGGCAAAACTTTTTTTTTTTGGGGGGGGGGAATGTAAAAATCGGTCGGTAATTAATTATTGATTCTGATAATTTTGCAGGCTAGAAATAAATAATTAATCCAGGGTTGCAAAATTATCGCCAAATTTAAAATTATTCATGTTTCTTTTGTAAATTGAGTAATAAAATTGTAAAGTCTTGCCCATATCTATTTATGTAATTATCAAAAGGGCTACATTATTTCAAAAAAAGTTGTTCATTGTTTTTTTAATTATTTTTATTCAGCACGTAATAAATGCGTCCTTCTTATTACATAAATGTGTTCAGTGCAATGAAATAATGCGACAACAATTGAGAGTCGTTACGATAAAGAATGAGTTATGATTAAAGGAATGCAAGCATTTTCATCATAATAAAACGTCATCTGCATGAGTATTTGCATACGTAAAGAAGTTTAGACCAAAAATTGAGTGAGTGCATACCTTATTTGGTATAATTTTGAAAGCTTGGTTTCTACTACGTAGTTCTCCTATTGCCTGGAAAAGTTCGATTAATCCGATGTTGGCGGAAAGAATTGTAGTATTTGTCATTTTTTTCGTGTTCATAAACTTTACTGGAGCTGAAGCCGGAGGTAAATTTAATATGCTGCAACAATCAAAAAAGGTAATTTTCGGATTATGTAGATTATTGCAAACAAAGCACACTCTTGGAAATCTCGAATAGTCAGGTATATATTAACTTGCCGGTAGTAACTTTGCCACGGCTTGGTGCTACACAGTTACACAACACAGTTACACAAGTTACACAACTCCGTAAAACTTCGGTAACACTTTAATCCCAACATACCAATTACTATGTACACACATCTTAGAAATACTACCTCGCTAGAGTTTTAAATAAATACCGTTTGGAATTATTTTAATACTGAATTTCTAAGAGTGCACACTGTTAAAAATGCGCTAAAGTCACTGTGATTTAAGTATTCCATACTGGTGCTAATTTGGTAATAACTTCCTACCGAATTGGTAGTAGTTTGTCTCTGTGCGGTAAATTTTTCATTGCCACAACATTACTAAACATTAATATGTACCAGTTACTTATCACTAGTTCAGGTAGATTGAAATATGTGACACATGACACAACATAGAAAATTCATAAATGCATTTTCCAAATTTCGAAATTTGAAACTATGTACTCCTCAGATTTCTGTTCCCAAATGGAAGCGGCCTGTGAACAGGTAGGAGGTCCCAAGGTAACGTGGTTACATGTCAAACCGTGGAGGTGAATACGATTGCTTGCGACTTCCCAATAACCAACGCTTTCGACGCCAAGTACCGCACCATGGTTGGATCATGTACAGTGAAAGCAGTTCTAACAATGCACATGTCATACATGTTTCTCACAGATCTTCTTCAAACCAGCACTAAAATATCAAGGAGCTAAGCACAAACAACAATTGGTGTGATACTTGAGCACTTCTGAAGAATTCGCGAAGTAATGAAGATTTTAAGTGGGCAAAAATGCGCATTTTCACCTTGCGAAACTAAATATACGGAGTTCACCTCTCTGCTTTCCGATTATCTCCTGCGCTCATCTTCCCCAGGTCATCCGCTTTCACATTTCGTTCAAAATTGAGTTTATTAATTTATCAACCAAGTTCTCATCCATTTTTCATCTGTGGTTTTTAAATAATTTTAAATAATTTTTAATATTGTAATTGGATTCAAATAACTAATCAGGTGGAAATTATTAATTTTTATTTGGTTTAGAATATTGGACCCGATTTTTTACCTTGCTTTCATAATGTGTATTTTTATTGTGGACCTCTTTGAACATAAAAAAACAAATATACCAAATTTCCTAAGCGTGATAAAGGCATCACACAAATTTAGGGGTCAATTAATCATGTTTAAATTGTAGCTTGAGTTCTATTGGGGTTTATTGTGTTTTTACTAATAACTTAAAGATGCATTTGTCACAACTATTGCAAATTCAAATTAAATCATATTATAATTAAAATTTTGGCTAGCTATAATTGAAATTCGATAAACCAATGTTTCAAATAAATTTTGACGACCTTTAAAATATAATCTAAAAACTTCAGAAAACGTTGCAAAAATTGCTTGCGTGGCGTGCATGTATTTAAATCAATCTCTGAGAGTTAACTACCAACTGATTAAATTTTTTCCAATTTTAGCAAATTTATACGATCAATTTTATACATCAGATTATAAAAATTATGGAATATTAAAAAATTAACAATGTCATGGGAAAAATTAATACATTTAATAATATGTAAACGTTACTACGTGAGTCAATCAAATTCGTTAATTTCCGTAATTCTTCCATTCAAAATACATTTTTGTGTAGAAACGTGTTGATTTTTTATGTGGAGTTTATCACAGTTAAAAATTTGATTAATTACGTTGTAAACTTTAATTAATGAGCAATTAAAAACTTGACAACTAAAGAACGTCCGGGAATGAATGGGAATGGTCTGAAAATGTGGTCATAAAATCACAATGAGTTATCGGAATTTTAAACTTTTTGCATATGTATTATACCAAATACGTACCTACATAATTTAATTAATAGCTAAGGCCGCCACACCCCCGTTGGCGACTAGTTCGATTTTCTTGCGAAGATTTTTCATTAAATTTTTTCCCGAAGTTTTTGCCACTTCCGAGGTGATTTTCTTCCATCGTCCTTTGAATTTTCGAAAGGTGTCAGGCACATCTTGAAGCCGGGAGTATACTGACTTAGAACATGCCCAGAATTTTTCGATTGGGCGGAGTTGGGGTACATTAGGTGGGTTGATATCTTTTGGTACGAAATCAATATTTTTCTTTCTGAGGTACTCGGTCACTTTCTTTGCATAGTGACAAGTGGCGAGGTCAGGCCAAAACAAAACTTTATCATTTTTGTGAAACCTATTAATAAATGCTTCCAATCCAGCCTTGACGCAATTTTTCAGATAAATATCTTGATTGATATTCCCTTCGAGAACTACCGGGTCTGATACATGTCCGTGACTGGAGATGCATTGCCAAATGCAATATTTCTTTGGAAATTTGTCTTTTTTTCGTACTTTTTCTTCATAAGCCACTTCAGAGGGATCCGAGCTATGAAAAAAATGACGCCCTGGAAGATTTGAAGGGTCAACCGGAACATACGTTTCGTCATCCAGGATCACTACTTTTCCACGCATTTTCTTCAACAATTTTTGACAGCAATCCTTGATCCGACTTTCTTGTACGGGCTTGTAATTTGGTGCAGGTTTTTTGGTCCTTGCTTTGATTCCTAATTTATGGACCTTAATTTCCCCCAGGTAGCTTTTGGAAATTTTGACTTTCCTGGCAGCTACAGCTACTGACGTTGATGGCTTGGTTTTGAAAATTTTTTCAATTCTATTTTTCACTCGAGTGGTCGCTAGCTTCGCCGGACGACCAGCTGGCTTCTTGAATTGCACATTTTCGGAATCCTTGAACTTTTTTATGTAGGAATACACATTTGAACTTGGAATTCCTTCCTGCTTAAAAAAGTTCCAGGTCACCTTGGAGTCTCGGTTGGCTGTCGTGTTGTAGAACTCCATCACTCGTTTTGCTAACAGCTCCCTTTCAAACAAGCTTCTTCTACCCTTATCCATTTTTGAAATTTAAGAGTGATATACCAAATTGACCCTAATGAAGTGGGCTTTCAGAAATTTAAATTATTATAGTTCGCGGGTTTATTGATTTGTCAATATACTCGCTAGAGCGCGCATTCCCATTCATTCCCGGACGTTCTTTAGATCAGAAAATGAGATAATTTAAAACCTTTTACATTTTCGTTTCAAAAATATAAATAAAAATGAACAAAAATATTTTGACGTGAGTCCGCCCAATTCTTGGTTTTTCACAAGATTCCTTGCAAAGTGTTTTTATGTGGAATATTAGATAGGTTGCGAGTTTACTTGAACGTGAAAAATTTCTCCCTTAAACGTTAAATTTTGCCTCCCGCCAATTTTCGGCGTCGCCCGTTTAAGGTTTACGTGCGTTTTCTTTACGTTCACGTTATTTTGGACGTTAAATCAACCCCTTTAGCGTGCAGTTTACGTAGAATTATGTAAAGCTTCTTTTTCATACAAATTTAAGAAAAACGAACAATAAGCATGCAGTTTTTTTTGTTTATTAGTAAATTTCTTGTTGACAAATGCATTAATTATAAGCTCTTTAATTCCAGTGATAAATAATTAATTGTGAAGCAACAAAACAAACAGTGAACTGGTAATGGCTCATGAAAGAAATAAAAAATGATTAGGCTTTCAGTCAAACTAAATAAGCAATAAATTTTCTCTTGCTTCTGTCAGTTGTAAATTAATTAATTAATAATTACATAATCTGTTGTAGTACTATTTATTAAAAACAAAACATCAAGCTTGGATGAAGGAAATAGAAGTATGGAAAGTGAATACGATAGCACATAAAGAAGAGCTACAATTGCAAAGGCATTATTTGAATTAATTTTTTAAAAGTAAATTTATTGTTTATCCAATTAATACAATACAAGATTAAAGGCTTGCTTAGTATGTGGCATCTATATTTTTTATAAGTATAATTTCATGGAGAATTAAGATGATGTGCAAGATCTGGTGATGCTTCACAAAAGTAATCCGACGTTTTTCTGCTTTGATGAAAAATTCGTGACAGGTTTCAAGGGTTCAATAAGTTGACATATCTGTGAGTACAATAATTAAATGATTTAGTGAATTGACTTGCTCTAGATTGATAAAATACTCTCACTTACCTGCTAGAATATGCCAATCCTCTTAGTGATGCACAGAGCTTTGATGACCCCCGCCTTAATTCCATTTTGATCAGCAATCGTGCCCCAAAGTTTAAGGGCGTATTTAAGTTTCAAACAGCCATTTTGTAAAATCGAACGTTGAGCAGCAGAACTCGTGCACCAATGAATTTAATTTTAAAGTTTCAATTCTTGGAATGGACTGATATTGATTATCTAAGAGAAGAATGTCCTCTATTTCGGAATCGTCCAATGCAGAAAATAAATTTATTACTTGTTTTGACAGTATTTCCATTTCAAACTAGTTTATAATCAGCCAAATTAATTAATTGCAACTAAAAATATTTCATCAAGAATGTAAACAAACCATTGAAATGAAATTCAAATTTAGCGCATAAGTTTACGCTCACGTGAGTTCGCAAGCGTGAAATTCGTGCATTCCGTAAACCTAAACGTTAACGCTAAATTCTACGTTTATGTTTGCGTTTACGTGAGCATCCGCAAACTCGCAATCTATCTATTACGACCAGATTTTTTAACTGTAAATTTACCAGAGCTAAAAATCGAACCAATTAAATTAATAACTCTAATACCTAAAAATTACTAACCTTGCCAAATGCCTTTTCCGCTCTACCCACGAGGTCGCCAAATGAATGCGACCCCTTCAAATAACGTACCCCCGTAATTCCAGCAAGTTGCTGATTGTACACATCGGCCCAGGCCCACGCACAATCGTTGAGACTTAAGGGCCCGGATAATTTCTTGTTCCAGGGAGACAGCAAGATCACAATTTTTCTGTAGATCGCGAGTGGAAAAAGCACAAAAATCTGGACAAATGGGAGGATCAGAAACGTTACAAAAACTGTGGAAACGACCAAGAAAATCTGTCTAAAATTTGAAAACATTTTAATAGAAAGTTAAAAATATTTATAAAATATTTTTAAAAATATTTAAAAATATTTATTTAAATTAAACAAATATTTTATGTGCACGAGATTGTTTCTAAATTGATCTTAAATGCACTCTTAGAAAAACAGTATTAAAATAATACCAACCGGTATTCTTTTATGTATACATAAATGTATGTTTGTATCAACGGGAGCTTTAGTGAGTGATGAAGTACACACTTCCATGTGTATATGTATATGTCACGTGAGTCACCGAGTAAATGATACAATTTCCAATATTTGACCAGTTTTATTTATGTGCATGACCCAGTATTTAATTATAGCTCGTCGAGTAATTTATTACCGTAGGAATATTGGATTGTAGACGTTTAAATGACAGATTCAGTAATTGAGTTTGTTTTATAAGTAGGTCCTACAATAATATGACAAATCTGATTTATTTTATTAGACTCCACGCACATACACACATTGATTAATTTATCCAATAATTACATGTGTAAAATATTATTAAGTATTTCCCTTTATATGATATTTTTAACTTTACTATATACACGCCCATCTGCATTGATTACATATTTACACGAGCAAAAAACATTTACATACCATTCCACTTTCTCGTTATATGTTTAGCTTTATTATTATTCACAGTGTAGTACTTTGTTATATTTATGCCAATATGTACTTAATCTACGGTTATTTTGTTTGTGTCGTGAGTAAAATATAAAGCATCTAAATTTTCTGTAGAATGATCTTTGCCGGAAATTATCAAAAAACTATCGCACTTAATGTCTTTCAAAGTATGTCCGGTTCCGTCGATGTGTGCATTGCGTAGAATAGCATTTGTAATTGTGCAATTGGAGCTCTGCTTGTCCAGACGCAAGCATTCTCGGCCGTTATATAGGTCGAGATCCGTATATTTGTTAATTTCGGAATTCTGTATTTCTCGATGATTATCCTGACAGCATTTGATTGATCGTAAAACATGTTTATCTCCTCTAACTTCAATTCCCGACGTGTCCAGACCACTATGTAAAATCTCAATCTTGTCCAAACAGTTTCTATTGCCGGAAACAGTTAAATGACCACAAATTACGTTGCTCACAACATTATCGTTACACCCATCCAAGTTTAAAGAGTTCAAGTTCAGATTCATGATTGAACAGGAGTTGGTCCATATTTCCAAACTTAAATTTTGGTGACTGAAAGCATTTATGCCACGGAAGGTAACATTATCCGTGGAACAACAGTAATCGCTTAGTCCACTGTCCTTAAGATTAATAGTTACGATATCACCTTCTACTAAGAAGGTCTTTAGATTGAAAAATTGCTCCTTTGATTCAATGATTATTTCTGCGGCATTTTGTGGTGCAATTAACATTATTTCCGCATGTCCCTTAATTCTGTCTTTCGGGCGTGTTTTAGTTAGTTTAAGAATAATATGTTCCCATTTTCTAAACCACCACTTTTTGCGCTGAACAAGATTATTCCTTGGACCATGTACCAAGTTATGGAACATTGATCTTGTGTCTTTCTGCTTAATTCGCTGTAGAACCTCCCATGACACTAAACCAAATGAGAATAGATCTGCCGGGATGCCGTACTGGTCGGTATTAGCTTCAGGTGCCCGATAAATGGCATTTCCTACTTCCGGGGTTAGTGTCTTGGTTTTAGTTTGCTCGCTATGGATCTGTCGACATAGGCCAAAATCGCCTACTTTAACCGGAAACTCGAACTCTTCTCCAGTTAGTGAAAAGGAAAACATAATATTTTCCGGGCGAAAGTCTCGATGCATAATGTTATAGCTATGCAGATATTTTAGCCCTTCATACATGTCCTTCACAATTTGATTTCGAACCGGATGCAATGCTGGGTCGTCAATTTCATTATTAATGTGCAACCATTGACGCAACGTGTTACCACATAACTCCATTTGGATGCACAACGTTTCAATTTTCTTTCGTCGTTTTGCTAGAAAAGTAAACTTCTGCAGGTTAGCCAAGGCAGTCTCATTGTCCTGAAGGCATGGAAGGTTTAGCAAGACGTTGACATCCTCTTCTGTGAAAGGTGTGTCGGTTGATTTCAAGATTTCCACCAAGTTTTTGTGCTTTTTTCCTCTCATTAGTTTATATTCTCGGGAGAGGCGGAGTTTCTCGGCTTCGTCGTCCGGGTTGTCTACGACGACGTCGATGAATATGACTTTGACAGCGGAAAGGTAGACCTGACCACTGATCTACAATAAAACGAAGAATTATTTGATCAGTTTAATTATCTGGATTAAAGGTTACGAGTTTGCAACTTTTTAATTGCGTATATTTAGTCATGTTAAAGGATGGCAAAATTCGCGTCTAAAAATTATCGAATAAAGTTTTAGGTTAATAAATAGGCAGTTTGCAATTTCCATGACGTAATACGTAACGTAAACGTAGCCATAACTATTAACATCGCTACGGTTACGTTTCGAGATACGGAACGTTGTTTTGCAAACTGCCTAATATGTATTAAAATCGAAATTTAAAATTACCGCCTTGAAAACATAACCGAACGACCCGGATCCAAGAAAAGATTCCAACGTTAGATAATCAAACCAGGATGAAATTGATTCTGCAGGAACGTCGGGATCCACTTCCATGGCGTCCATTTTTGAATACGGGGTATTTCAAAATATTTTTTTACCTGCAGTTAACTTGAGTGAGAGTATATTGAGACTTGCTGGAATAATTAACTGCGTAGTTAGTTGGCATTATCATGGTTTATGTTTAATTTGGGTTAGCAACAAGATAAGATACGTAGGCATGAAATGGATGCATGATAACTCTGGAATCCCAGATATGGAATTAAGCCAGGGCGTAAGCGATAAATATGGACGTAAGTATGCAGGCAACAAGTTATTATTATGCGTTGGCACACTGTGAATAATCTGCTAATAAACCTTACAGAACAGCCCAAGTATATGACTCTACCATAGTGCTAATGATAAGTGGTACCGTGTGGCGTGTGGTCATGGCTTTGTAATAAAGTTTTACCATCATGGTGACGAATTTTTACTACGTGGTAAAATATTACTATCAAATTTATTACCGAGAAATCATTACATGCGTGACTTTACCGGATGATTAAGAACTCGTGTCAAGCTTAGCATGAGCAAGATACGTGGGTATGAATGAAGGGAAAAATTGCACACTGCGCATTAACGTGACATCATCATCAGAGTCAAGTTATGTACACTGCAAATAAACTGGTGTCAATTCCACGCGGTGTAGTCACATATAGACACCACGCGGTGTTAATTGCCCGTACCAACACCGCGTAGTGTCTATATGTGACTACACCACGCGGAATTGACACCAGTTTATTTTGAGTGTATATGTATAAAGTGGTAGGAACAATATATGTTCGAAAGCCAGATAATTACATGATAAGCTCCGGAATTTCTGATAGCAAGAGATCTCGACAGAGTGGAAAACTTGGTTGTATAACAGTGTATTGAAGCATTTTATTATTTCCCAATGTTCACAAAGTAAATATTGCAAACAAATATCTGCATGTTCGTCATGCAAATATAGATACACGTCCTGGGATCATTTCTTCACAGTGGAAAACATCACTCAACATATTGCACAGCGTCATATATCCTGTAAACTTCAAGAGCCAATTTCACAGAAAACCTCCAGCACCGCGAATAAAGATATGTATGAAAATATGTGTGTCCATACATATAAATGGCTACATATTACTGGAAATGATTACTTATGTTCTGTAATAATACAGTATGCTAAATGGTGTATCTTAATGAATATATCAAGTTGAATCGATCTCCAACTCTCAAGTTCTTTGTTTTGAAAATGCGTAGACGTTTCATTCCAAGTGTTTATGTAAATATGTATGTATGTAATTTAAGTATTGCTCAGAACTTAGGGAAACATAATTCATGATTTAGTTTCGGAGTACACTCCTCCTCCCTCCCGCGTCGACAATTTTAATAAAAATTATATGTGGTATTAAGCGCGTGTAGTAGGAATACGTAGTTTATTTAATTAATGTGACATCAATCCCAGGCGTTTTTGACATTTATATGTACTTCTGAACTAAGAAAACCATGGAAAATTTGCGATAAACATAACAGTGGGAAACTGAGGATGAGTCTGCATTATGAAATTATTTTCATGCGAACTTATTTGCATCACCATTTGTTGAACTTTGTTTCGTCCAGTATGAAATATGCAGATAATTGTCTGCATTTTTATATGTGTCAGAGCTTATCTTAACTGATAACCTGGCGCCAGTGGAATCGATCATCACACAAGTTCAGAGGTCGACGCCGACAGATTTTCGGCGGCGGCGGCGAATAGTTTTTGATTATTTTTCGGCGGCGTCGGCGGCGCGGCGCGGCGCGGCGTTGCAATGTTAAACGAATAGGAAATCAAATTTTTCGGCGGCGGCGGCGCTTAAAATGCACCGGTGTTCGGCGGCGCGGCGGCGTACGATCGGCGGCGTGGCGGCGTACGATCGGCGGCGCGGCGGCGTACGATCGGCGGCGCGGCGGCGTACGATCGGCGGCACGGCGGCGTACGATCGGAGGCACGGCGGCGTACGATCGGCGGCGCGGCGGCGTACGATCGGCGGCGTCGACCTCTGCACAAGTTCATACCCTAACTCTGAATTTAGCAAAGTTATAAACTGAATGAGATTTTAGCATTGCATTACTTTACATATCCTGCTATCATAATGTCTCAGCATTATACGATAAATACGATATGTGTGCATACTTATTTAAGTAAATATGATATGTAGTTAACAATGAGCATAATGACGAACATTCTAGTAGTTTCAAACACATATTAGCTCACCTAAAGGTGATTCAAATTAACTAAAAAAAACGCAATTTCATAAATCATATTCGATGTGATTTGTCCGACTAGTTGTTTAGGTTTTACATATCCAACGTCCAGACAATACTTTTGATGTTTTGCATGAAATGAATTTGCGAAATTTGGGATGTTGGCGATAAGAAATTGTAATGATTTCCGAATAAATTATTGCAGCATTATCTGCCAAATTTTGTTTGTATTCATTTAGTTGGCGATAAGAAGTTGTACTATAGTACAATTTCCTTATTCCCTAAATTATTCGAAAAGTAAACTTTGAGAATAAATTATTCCCCGTTATCTTCAGGATTTTCCTCCTAATACATTTCGTCTGTTTTGTACATATGTATTTACAAATTTTTTCTATAACTTTAGACAACCATTTACATAAATAATTAAGATATACGTCTCATTTATATTTATTTACTAGAGTAGATGCCCGTCCAACGACCGCTTCAAGACTCTCCCAGTGGGGGTGTGCCTTAATCCCGTCGAACTACAATGCTAGTCTGTTTATTATTCACTTCATGAGAGAGTTTCCTACTTGTAAATCGATCTAAGTGGATCCCCCGTTCAGACAATGCGACCGAAAATGGAAATATGGAGAATTTTACGAATACCTTTCTGTAAAAGTTTAGAACAATCCACATTCCCGGAGATACAAGTTCTCCCCCTGATTTATTTGGTACATGAAGCCAACAAATTCGAGCTAGCATGAATCCTTTTCGTTGAAATTCCGACATGGTTGTACAATTAAGTTTCTGAATGGAACTTTTGAATCGGCGATCATTATTGTACATACAATTCAGATATTGCTTGTGATCGATTTTCGTGCTTTGGGCGAATACTTATTTTTGGGTAGAATTTGGATTGTAGTACAGGGAAGGATACGATGGACGAGGCAAAGTGAGTTTTTTTGTTTGTGGATTGTAGTACAGGGAAGGATACGATGGACGAGGCAAAGTGAGTTTTTTTGTTTGTGGATTGTAGTACAGGGAAGGATACGATGGACGAGGCAAAGTGAGTTTTTTTGTTTGTGGATTGTAGTACAGGGAAGGATACGATGGACGAGGCAAAGTGAGTTTTTTTGTTTGTGGATTGTAGTACAGGGAAGGATACGATGGACGAGGCAAAGTGAGTTTTTTTGTTTGTGGATTGTAGTACAGGGAAGGATACGATGGACGAGGCAAAGTGAGTTTTTTTGTTTGTGGATTGTAGTACAGGGAAGGATACGATGGACGAGGCAAAGTGAGTTTTTTTGTTAAACAATATCCCATTAAACAATATCCCATTACACCACATGTTGTCACAGCTATATTAAATCTTTTAACCCTTACCTAGAGTCTAAAACCCACAAAATCACGCATACCCTATATTTTACACGAAAAACCCAAAAAAAACCCCAACCTAAAACAACCAATTTCCATCCCTTCACCCACCTTCCCACCCCAACCTAACCTCACACAAAAGTATAACACACCCTAAAAAATACTCTAAACCTAACCGAACCTAACCGAACCTAACCTAACCTAACCTTACCTAAGGGTCTGGGGTGGGGTCAAAGTCGAAACACAAATGTCCAAATCTAAATGAACGACCCCCATAAACCTTCACCCTACCTTCCACCCAACAAATAAAGCCAACCATAAAGAGGCTAACCCATCCAGGAACCCAGAAATATCAACAAAACCCTACCCCTACCCAAACCTAACCTCACCCCCGACCTTCAACCCATCACATCTCTACAACCTCAAGTCGTATCATCAAACTGAAATAACACAACCTGTCCGGGAGGACCCCAGCTAAACAATAAAACCCTTAAAACCGAGTCCCGCCCCCTCACTACCCGTCAAACGACGAAAAACCTAACCAAACCACCAAATTCACCCCTCATCAACTTCCCAACCCCCATATCTCGCTACCCAAACCCCCACCACCTCACATACATACCAAAATTTGTCGACTAGCATCTCAACTAACCAATTCAATCGCTAAACACAAGTCGCGCCGATACACTTTTCCTATAAACCCCATTTTTCCACATTTCACCAAATTGGCCCATACCCACCTTCAACCCATCACATCTCGCCATCCAAACCCCCCACCACCCAACATGGATACCAAAATTTGTCGACTAGGACCCAAACTAATCAATTCAGTCGCCAAACAAAAAGTCGCGCCGAACAAATACACCAAAAAATCAAAAACACCCAATTTTACCCAATTTTACCCAGCCTCACCTTCCAGCCCCAACATCTCGGAAACCAAACGTCCCCCGACCAAAACTCACTTAACCTTTTTTGTTGGCAAGGTTTCAAACTACAAAACAAAACCCTCAAAACCTTACCAGCACCAACTCACTACCCGCCAAAAAACAAATCAACCCAACACGTTCAAACCCGCCCTATTTCGACCTTCTAAACCCCATATCTCCCCAACCAAACGTCGCCCCACCTCAAATAATAACCCTAAACTGTCGCCCATCACCCAATCTTTACTTTCCAAACAACCTCACCCCCAACCAATTTCCATCCATCCCTTCACCCACCTTCCCACCCCTACCTAACCTTACACAAAAGTAAGACACACCCTAAAAAATACTCTAAACCTAACCTAACCTAACATAACCTAACCTAACCTAACCTAACCTAACCTAACAAAACCACGGTCAGCAAAGGGTTTTAGCCACCTTTGTTTTTAACGTTCCATTGTATGCGGGTTTTGAGTTTAAATTTTTATGTCTCAACTTTCCCTTCTTCTATTTGTTCAAATGGTGATTTTACAAACTTCGACGTGAGTTCTCCCTTTAAATAATTTCGTTTCACATTAGAAGAAAGAAAGAAAGATTGGCGATCTATTACAGTTTTAACTATTTAAATTCACCAAAATTTGTTTTATGGCGTTAAATTTTCTAAATTTTTAAACGACTTTTGATACGCCATCACCTCT